TGTACTTTGTCAGTGTGAGTGAATAGAATCGGCGAACATGCCTCAAATTAAAACTTCAAGAAAGAAGCGAGCAAGACTTTTGAGTTTAGATAAAGAACCATACAGAAAGGGAAGGTTTAACGCTGTTCAGTTCGCAAAGAACAACCCCATGATCAGAGATATATCTGTCAACACGTGGAGAGTCTTTAAGAATGTTATCTGAACATCGAGTTATAACTAAGTCCAATGTATGGCCTAAGACATGAGTAGGTTCTTCAACATGCTGTTCAATCCCAACGATTGAAGCATATCCATTAGTTAAACATATTAAGTATTCCATCATTTTAAGCCTTTGGAATTTCGTCCGCCATGATGGTGTACCAACTTGGAACACCAAGATGGCGGCTCCATATATTTTAACCAAAAATTGCGTCATGTTTACTCGCCTATAGTTCCGCAACTAAATGCTTTACAGCCTTAAAATTTGGCCAGTATACGTAGTTTGGACCGCTTTACAAGAATATAAAATTTCTATTTTATTATAATGCGAATTTACGCTTTTGAAATTCATGATGACGTAGGTGAAAACMAAGAATAGGTCARTCTTGCTACTACATACATATTCTACCAAGTCTGAAGTCTTATTTCTCAGCGAACGCAYATTAGCTACATCCAGTAACAGGTTATTACGTACTGATGGTAATTTCGGTTTTGGATCATTTAAAGGTCCGGGTTGAGGGTGTACATCGCCAGTAATCAWTAATAATTGGAAACTAGCAATACCGTTGGAATAATAAGCAACTCTTGATTTGGAATATTTTGTTTTTAACCGTGACGTGAAGCGTAGTAACGTAGAACAAAAATCATTGTGCACACCATTGTTGTAATATAGATYCTTGGGGACATCTACGAAGTCGTCCAATATTTAAGAGTTGTTGATTACTAGAGCAAAACGTTTGATTTGATTTTTGTGATTGGTATGAAAGCGTCGTTTTCGATAGTAGGTCATGAATTGTAAATCTCTGAACAACATCTCTAGATTCCTCGTAAAGTTGATAAGAACTGTATTCAGTTTCAGGAGTCCAAGAGCCGCTTTTATGGCATAAAACCAAAAATAATTGGGAGCACAAAATAACGCGTGTTAACGTCA